TTTTGCTACTAACTTCCCAGTAAAGTTTGTAATGCTAGAAAGGTCTATTTAAAGGTGAGATACTCTGGGAATAGCCTTGCTATGACTCAGAAGAATGTCCAAACTAATTTGTTGGAACTAGATTTATGATCCAGAGATGGCCAGACCTCTCATCAAGGATATTTTTTTTTAAGTTCACAACTGTGAAGCTGAAAAATACAGACTATCTCTGGCACATGCACTTTGAAGCAAGCTGCTTTCTTATCCTTCCTGATTTTCCCTGAAGGCAATATCCATGCTGCACTATTGGGCTATTGCACCTTCAGGTGACAAAGGTGCATACATGAGTGTGCTCTCTCAAATAATATTTCTCGATGAGAGCTATAATCAGCTTGTTTGAGGGGCTTTTTACCTGCAAAAACCCATCAGAACAGAATGCTCTTAGGAAGCATAAGAGGGACCTTACTTTGATCTTCTACTGAAAACCAGTACAAAGTTCTACTGCTTTCCTTGTGCAACCAGAAAATGGAGCATCCCACATAGAAAAGGATGTGGAAGTGTCAATGTGGGGGTAAGGCTCAGAATGCCAAGAACCCAGTCTGACCTACACTTCAGAGACCTCAAAGGAAGATATCTGTAATTAATGCTGGGCCAGGCAGCACAATTCCTCCAGCCACTGCAGACATGAGCATCTGCATTAGAAAAGGTAGATGTCCATGGAGCACAACTCCTGATAACACTCTTTTTCTGCTGTCTCTAGGATGGCTATAGGCCTAGTCTTGTGGCAGGTATGGTGTACTTCCTATTCCCAGCTCTGTGAAATCAAATTTGGAGGCAGGGGAGAACAGAGCGTGGGAGGAAAAAGGAAAAAGGAAAAAGGAAAAAGGAAAAAGGAAAAGAGAGGAGAGGAGAAGAGAAGAGAAGAGAAGAGAAGAGAAGAGAAGAGAAGAGAAGAGAAGAGAAGAGAAGAAAAGAAGAGAAAAGAAAAGAAAAGAAAAGAAAAGAAAAGAAAAGAAAAGAAAAGAAAAAAGAAAAGAAAAGAAAAGAAAAGAAAAGAAAAGAAAAGAAAAGAAAAGAAAAAAGAAAAGAAAAGAAAAGAAAAGAAAAGAAAAGAAAAGAAAAGAAAAGAAAAGAAAAGAAAAGAAAAGAAAAGAAAAGTTCTCATTGTGTAAGAAAGGAAACACAAGCAATGGATATGGCAGATGGTCTCTTTATCTGTCAGCTATTCCAGAAGAAGAAAATCAGGTCATCTGGATTTTGCTCTTGGTAACCCCCACCACACTGTCTTGTGTCTGGCCACATGTCTCTACTCCTGTGCACCATCTGAATTATGCACTCATTTGCAGTCCTTCATTTTCCTATGTTTTCACTAATTATCAGGGTCTATCCCTCCTTCCATTCACTCATTATCCAATCAGCTTGTTCATCTCATCCATTTATATAGTATTTCAACTGTCCATACCACCAACATACAACTGATTTGGCTGCACATGCACCTGCTACATGCTGGTTTTATCAGGATGTCTGCTCTCTTACAGCTTAGAAAACAGGAGAGGAAAGCAGAAAAGGAGGAAGAGCATTAGCTGAAAGAAGGAGACATTTTAAAAGAAAGGCAATAATGGAAGGATGAAAGAGAATATAAATTTGAATCTCACCTTGAATGGCTTGAACATGGAAGACCAAATACAGATACAGCAGCAGGATGAAAATCTCTTTTATGTCCATATTTTATATCCTTGGCACACAGGCTTGATCCTAACTCAGAATTTCAGAGTTTTCATTGCCCACTGGCCACTCTCTTTCCCTGCTTACTGTGGAGCTGTTTGTTTCTGTTTCACATAAAGAGAAGTAAAACTGAATAAGGGAACTTCTTTAAGATCATGTTGAAGTGACATTCAGGAAGAACTTCTACCAGGCATTTCTTGTAGGACAAAATTCACGTCCTCACTGTGTGTTGTTGCAATGCAAGCAGAGAATGAAGTAAATGTACATTTCCAAGGAAGTGCAGGGATTTGGTCAGCTGAGCAGCAACAAGACAAAAATCCTGATTTGTGATGAGAACTCATCCTTAAAATTAATTTCATTCTTCTGCTCTTTATGCTTAAAGCCTTCCTAATGAACCACAACAGTGGCTAATTTCCTTAAAAATATGATCTCAATGACACAGTTCCTAGGAGCTATAGTGGATGAATTTCTATATTCATTCACTTTGAGAATTTCCTTGAACTTTTCTCAGGGCCCCCAAACAAGTTGCAAATTGTAGACAAACTACGAAAGAAATTAATTTAATTTTTTCCTGGTGATTGTAGAGACTAAAAGTAGATTGAGCAGTTCTAGGACCATGGACCACACTGTGAATTTAAGTAATTCTGGTCATCTCTCATCACTCTCTCAAAATCATAATACACACATCTACTTAAGTACGTTACAGATCTGAGACTTTTTCTACTTTAGGGGAGCATGAAAAAAACACTTTTCAATTCCTATTGACTTTCAGATTCCCAAAAGCCACCTCCTTGGACTGGAAACAGCTGGCTGAGCCGTTGAATAATCGTTACAGCTAAGGAATCCCCCAGTAACTCACAGGTCCTTGTATGAGAGCAGCCTCTACCATTATGCTTCCCCCAGAAAGGAAGCCATTCCCTTACCTGAATCCAGGGGTGTCTGTGAGGCAGATGATTCAACCTGATGGGGAACTCTCCCTGTCCGGCACCATCCCCCAGCACCAGAATCCTCTGATGCAGATATCAGCAAATCCACACTTGCCTAGAACTGGAGACAGAAGTATAAACCAACCACAGGATTTTCTTGGCAAGTAAGTCTTCAAATAACTACTACATCTTTTATGAACCTCAAATGCCACTTTCAGAGAAGCTAACACCCCCCTTTTCAAGGAAAGTCTGTGCAATTGCACAAAATAGGAAGTCTGTACTTCCTATTTTAGCCCCCAAAGCACGCACTTAGATGGGACTGTTGGGTTAACTGGGAAGGGAGGGAAAGGAAGTTTGTCATTGCCAATCTATGTGTTAGTAATTACCAGATCATGAGACTTATGTATTTTAAGAAAGATACAGGACTGACTGCAGCAGATGTGAGAGAGATGAAGAAAGAATTTTCTGTTTTTCACTCCAGTGTTGTTTCACTCCAGTGCTTTGCTCTAGAATAGACAATCTTCATGGCAGGGATCTCTCTGGACTCTTGTTTGTACATCTGTATTGGGGGAGAGTGAACTACCTTTATCTCTGTAACTCTTTAGTAATATTTCTAAGTCTTACCCATTTCAACAACAATTAATAATAAGTTATAAGTACTGTAGTACAAAAAGAAAACAAAAGGAAACTGGTGAGAGTAGTTGATCTGAAGTTATCCTACATCCAAGGCAGCCTGATCTTTTAATCCAACCATAAAACAGCCCAGTAGCCTTCAGAAATAAGCATTAGGAAAGTTAGGCAGTCATAAGGGAGAGACATGCTCAGGTTTGTGTTCTCAGGGATAAACTATGGAGGCTTATATGAGTTCCCAGACACAGAATATAACTGGCAGAGTCTGTCTATCCTGCACTGTTACTCCTCCTCTCCATCCCCATGGTACTGACCAAAACCACAGGTAGCACAGTTATTCTCTCATCAGAACTGCATCAATAAACAAGCAAAAAAAAAAAAAAAAAAACAAAAAAAAACCAAAAAAAAAAAAAACCAAAGAAAACCCCCTACTATGTGTGTGAATAAGGGAAACATGTAAAGTAAGACAAAGAAAATTGAGAATATCTGGGGTAACTGTGTGTGAGAAGGTGTCCATATAAAACCTGCAGACAGTTAGGGGAATATGTAACTTGGCTGGATGGGAAGAATTTATTTTGCATTGCAGTTTAAAGGCAGAGGGGGATCATCCTGCCCTGATTTTCAAAGGCCAGTGTGCTTATGTTCTTCCAGCACCTTTATAAAAGAGGACAGTTGCTTCCTAGCAGACATTTTTCCTCCCTATCCCTTCTCATTGAAAATGTTCCTCCATTTTGAGACAGACATGCTGAGTTGCTGGCTACATCACAGGATCCAGCTGTCACTGAAAATCCCTGAGTGCCACTTTCTCTGTTGAACTCCAGGAACAAGTAACAAAGAATACTGCACCCCAGAAATTTTGCAGTCCATACCTGCCATTAGGCTTTAAACTTACAATGCATTTTCTTATGCATCACAACATGTAATATCACTGACAAAATCATTGCTGTTACTTCATCGCCTTTCTAAACTGCGTTGCTACAATACCTCTGAAGCAGGAAGTTACATTTTGTAATATTTTAATAAAATAATGTCAAGAAGCCCACCCCACCCAAAAAAAACCCACTTGTAAATAAAAATGGACAAACTAATATTTAACTTTATTTGTTGAAGAATCTGATACAGTAATTTCTTGTTAGTTCTACTTTGAATGCAGTGTCAGAAAGCAGAAGATAGAAAAGAAATTGCTGTTTCAGTAGGATATCCTACACATTTTCCTAAACATGAAAATAAGTAGATTGTACTAAGGTCTAAAAGGAAAACCACAGGTGTACTAGGTTTGATTCACAGAATTCAATATACAATGATCAGTGGAAAAGAAGAAAGTTAAGATGGGCTGCAATTTCTTCACTGAAATCCAAAAAAGTTTTATTGATCCTCCTAGGACAAACTCTGAACACCCAGTCAGACTCCAACATGAGAGATATAATTACACAATGGCCCACAAAACTTCAGATCAGCAAATGAAGAGAAATTTATGGGAGTCTAGAGAAAAAACAAAAGCTTATGAAGACATTCTGGACAAAAAAAAACTAGTCTTGGGAGTGAGAACAGAAACTAGAGCAGGTCTAAGGGCTCAGGAGACCTCTATTGCAGGCTGACACTGACTTGCTTTGTAAACATGGCCCATGATTTTATTTCTCTATTACTCACTTTCTCTGGTCTCTATGTAGATTGTCTGTATTGCAGATGTGTGCTAAAAAGCTGAAGAAGTTAACCAAGTACAGATTTTACACTGAAAGGTAATATATCACTAAAAATTACTCATTTCAAGGACACTTCAAAGACATTTTGAAGGAAACTGCCTGCAGAGAGGGATATCTATATAGCACTTATATTGCCCCTACTGCTTGAGCAGCACCTGTTCCTGGACTAGTGTTGTAGACACCCAAGTCATCTTTGTGAGTGATGTGCAACTTCCAAGGGAAGAAGTGCTTCTCAGAGGGACTTCTTCTGCTCTGAGACACCATGAGTTCAACATCCTGATCGGAGAGCAAGCGGATCAGGTCGCCTTCAGGGTCCCGGTAATTCAAAACAATGTCTTCTTGGTTAAACTCCTGCCTGGGAGAAAAGAAATGGATTGATCCCCAGAAATCAAGGAATGCCTGGGAGGTGCTACATGATGAATAATATACTGACAATCTAATTAATTTTAATAAAAGTCACACAAAACCTTGGGTATCTTGGCCTTCTTGATACAGCAGTACTAGAAATCATATAGCCACATTCATGCTGTGTTGTGTTTAAGCTAAGAAATCTACCAGAACCAAGAACCATTTCCAGTAACACCACATAAATGGCACAATTACTCTGTGTGTTTGGTAGAACTACCCTGCAAAAGAGCTGACTGTGGTTACCACCCACTTTTGCCTACTTATTTTTGCTCTTTCTGAGGAGTATAAGAATATTAGAACAGGTGTTCTATTACCAATATTTACTAATATTTAATGTTCTAAATTGTTGATGTTCAACACCAGATTAATCTAGTTTAACAAGTATTAGAAGGCCATGTCCTACATCCTGAAGAAATGTACTAGACAAAAGATGCTTTTATGGGGGTATGGCTCTTATCATAGTACAAGAAATGGAAATTTCTACCCATCACAATTGAGTCAGAAGTGTGTGTCATTCCTTAGTCATTGACAATCCCAAGAAGGACTAGTGTCTGCACAGATGACCCTGGGCCAAGTCAAAGTGTAACTTCTTCAAGACACTTGAAAAGTATTTCATACACAAAACATGGTGCTGACCAAGTAGAACGTGGAAAATCTCAAACCAGAATGAACTTGACAAATGTTTAAGCATCAAATATACAGCCAAGTGCTTGCATTGTACCTCATCAATTCCATTAGATCTTTGAATGATGGAATGCTGCTCAGATCCTCTTCCACTGAGATATCCCTTTATATAGAACACATATAGTCATTACATATCATGACAAGAGAATTGGTGTTTCTTCATCAGCAAACTTGAAGGCTATTTTGTTACTACCTGATGGTGCTCACAGTCTCATCATAGTAATAACAGCGAACTTTATTAACCGTGTCTTCCTGCTGTGGTAAATCTTTTATGATCTTCACAAAAGCACATGGGAAAATCCCAGTGGCACCATCAGCAGTTCCCTGGAATGACAGGAAATGTTAGAATCAAGAAAACCATGCTATGTTGGCCACATGCAATAAGTTCTGGAATTCGATTAGTTTAGATAGAAACAACAGTAAGAATTTTTCCACTATAATCAAGAAAAGAAATTCTATGGAAGTGACCTGATGGCATCCCTACAAAAAGATTATACAATTACATAGTCAAATACCAGGCAGGGGAGTGAAACAGTGTGTAAAAAATGCAAGTCAGATGGTTAGCAAGGAAGGCTGTGGTGTTTGAGCAAGCAGAGATATCATATCAGCAAACACACAGTATGTTCCCCTCATCCTTTTTTCAGAACACTGCTGCATTACCCAAGTTCTCTCTAATCAGGCTGACGTGTGTTGTGGTACAAAGCATGAAGCATACATCAACTCACCCTGGGGCCAGAAACCAATTAATCGCTGAAATGGAGTTTCCATCTCCTTTCTGTGGCCTTTCTGTGTTCTAATCACTTCCAAAGAATTTAAAAACATTCCAGCAGAAGCAAATGCAAATGAAAACTGAAGTCTGGAGGGCAAAAATTTTGTAAGCTAAAAACCATCAAGGAACCAAACAATTACTAATTTGGAATCAGGGATTTAGTTTTGACAGTAAGACCTGATTATGATACAGTTTCTCCTTGAAAGGAAGAGGCAGGTCACAAGGATCAGAAGAGCCCTTTCTACTCATATATTTCAAGGTATGCTAATAATTCAGTACTGCTATTGCAGTCTTACCTCCAACCAGTCTTTGTTTACTTTGCTGAGTAGATAGATCAAATCTCCTTTCTGGAATCTGAGTTCCAGTTTATTGGTTCCAGGAAAATCAAACAGTGCCTATGGAAAGTAATAACCTCAAAATTATTAATTCACAGAATTACAAAAGCAAATCTTTCTTGTGTTGTGTTCTTGAGGAGAAAGCATAAAGCAGCAAGACAGCGTGCACTCTGTCATCACATATGTATTTCTGGGATAAGGTCACATATATTTGACCGTAGCTTGCAGTTCTCACAATCTCTTCTCCTACTCAACACACACAAAACTGCTTTGAAGAAGTAGTGAAAGCACTAGGATAAACATGGCCCTGAGAGAGCTACATAAAAGGATTCTTAAAGTGACAGAACACTGAGCACCAGAGAGATCAATATACATAAGTTGAAAGTACTTAAGAGCAAGTAAGGCAACAGAGCTAAAGCCAACTAACAGCTTGAAATCCTGAGAACTCAAAAAATATATTATTTTTCATTGCAACTTTTAGATTTGCTGCAAAGTACCACAAAGAGCCTTTAAAATTGCAAAAATGTTGTGTCTTAATTTAAGGGTAACTAACTGTTGCTTTTACATCTAGCTTCCAGGTCTGGATGCTGAACTGGGAGATGTGGGAAAGCTTAGGAAATTGACGTGTTGTTGAAATGGAACTTAGATGACCTCTTCAGGGGAAAAAAAAAAAAAGGAGGCAAATACATGCTTATCATCCTAACAAAAGGTTGGAGAGTTAAAGTGGTTGTGTTACCAAAAATACACATCTCCCCCATTGTGCTTAGGGAAACATGGTCATTTAAATGGTCTTAGAGGAACAAAAATGAAAAGGTGCTCTTTATTCTGTGTTGCAATTTTTCTTTTGGTCTTGTTAATGCCAAGAGTTCTCTTAATAAAAACAAACAAAACAATGCTTCTATTGTGCTAGTGTCTACTTATTAGTCCTTTCAAAAGCCTTTTTTCACCTATTGAAAAGTTCTGGTAGGTATATTCAATACTAATAAATTAATAGATAAAACCCAAGAGATATGACTGTTCCAAGACCTGTCACTCTCTGTGTAAAGAACAAAAGCAACAAAACTCAAAGCAGATGCCTGGGGATTTTAATCTTATATGGCAAATCACATGTTTCAGGAAGCAAAACCCTGCTCAGACAAATACTGGTTACAAAGCAGTCTCATGTGCTTAATACTGAGAAAATATACCACAAAGACAAGAGTAAGGGCATTTATGTTACAGAAAATACATTTATGTTATAGAAAATACAAAAATAAGATGCCTCCCCTGCAAAGCTTTTAAACATATGCTGAAGACACTGAGGCTGAAGCTTATGCCTGTTTTAGATTTAACTTATGGGTGGCACCATGCAAATGTGGACCATTTGGCAGTAAGCTGTACATGTCTCAGTTTTGAATCTCCTGTCATTCTGATTTCACCATAGACCTTCTTATTACTCAAGAGATGAGGAACAGGACACCTCTTTCCATCCTTTGTTTCATTCTCTGTTGTTAAAATCAATTGTTTTTCTCTGTTTATTTCACTTTCTTCCCCCAAGCTCTAATTGAAAATGGCAACCTGATGGATGAGGTACCACAGTAAACCAGAGTTTAATCTCCTGTCCTGTGACAGGTTGTGGAGAGTACTCACCTCAGCCCGCGGAGCTGCGGTGCGGTCAAAAACAGGCACTTGATCTGAAACACTCTTACTGCAAAGAAATGAGACAACAGGGAGGAAAACATCTTTCTAAGTCATTAAAAATGCTACACAATCAGTAGTGCAGTGTCTGTGTTTTTACTATTTGAGGGGCATGTAAGCCATAGATCACTGGAGAAACTGCATGAGAATCTGTGTGCAACGCTGAAGAAAATAAATATGGATGCAATGACACTGCCCTAGTTCTCTCAGTTTCAGTGCAGAGCAGCAGCAATCTGACGGTGTCTGCTCCTGAGAACAGATGGAATTTTCAATACAGTCAGTATTCTGGACCTCTCTTCCACAGCACTGCTCAGTCCCCCTACTCTGCCTTCTGGGCATCATTGTTTCTAGCATTTATGGCATTTAGTTCAAACTCTGCCATCATACACACATGCAGTTTTTGCACTGTTTGAGGTACGTGAAAAGGAAGCACGCCCACCTTTGTAATGCTGAAAGGAGAATTAATTTATCTGAAGGATAATGAAGTATGACATCTACTTAGCAGTTCTCCAAAGGGGTGTCAATCTGCTATGTAGGACAGGCCCCTGTTTTGACAAAGGATGGGAACAAATTAAATATTCAGTTTCATTTAGTATCTGAACCAGATCTCACTGAATTCAGTGCCAAAACTCACACTGACTTCAGTGGTGCGAGCCTATGTCCTTAAGCTTGGCTTGGATATTCTGCACATTGTAATAGAGATTACCGTTAAAGAAATACGGGCAGATAGAGCTGGACAGTATTTTTAAAAACGCAAATACTGTCATTTTGGAATTTTCCTTTAATCCAAGTACCACATCCACTTAAAAAATCTGAGATTACTGAAAACAAGAAATACTCTGTGTTCACTCCACCACAAAGACCCTCATATTAGGGATTCATGGATTCACTTGGAAAACACAGTGGTGATCCTCATCTATCTCTCCCCCCAAAACTGGACGGCATCTCTTCCATCAAGCAATGCTGCAAAAAACATGTCAATCACTTACACTCGGCGTGTCCGTGGGCGAAGCCGTCTCAGTCTGTGAGGCACCTGCTCGCCATCAAAGGTTGAGTGGTAGAAGAACAGCCGAACGTCCTCATCCATCAACACCCAAGCAGGGAGGCAGAGCAGGTTCTGTGCCAAGAGCAAGCAGGAAGCAGAGTGTAACAGTGGGAGAGACCAATTCTCTATTTATTTACATGTAATAAATATGCCTCTCTGACCTACAGGATCATGATGGATATTCATTACTGCCAGAAATCTCCCTCCTCTCCTTTCTCACTCAGCAGGACACAGCTGAACAGCTGACAGTCTTTCCTCTTTACTCCTGGAGTTGGCCAATGTATTGCTTCACGCTTTTTGTACCTGATTTACTGCAGGAGTAAATTGCTTTTTGTTTTTCTTTTCAGAATATGAATGACTGTGGAAAGAAGGCAGTCTGAGCCAGTGCTTCAGACTTTTACTGATTTGAAGTTCAGGTCTTCAGTTAACCTGCACACAAAGAATATCTCTCCTTGATGTATGCTGCATCTTCACTGTAATTCAGGTACTCTCAGAAGCCCACCTGTCCTGATTCTGGCTGGGAGAGAGTCAGTTTTCTTCTTAGTAGCTGGTACAGTGCTGTGTGTTGGATTTAGCATGAGAATAATGTGGATAACACACAGATGTTTTAGTTGTTTCTAACTACTGGCTTACTTAGTCTAAGCCAAGGGCTTTTCTAGTTCCCAAGTCCTGCCAGTGAGGAGCTGCACAGGAATCCAGGAGGGAGCATGGCCAGGAGAGCTGGTCCAAACTAGCCAAAGGGATATTCCATGCCATAGGACATCATGCCCAGTATGTAACTGGAGGGAGTTGCTCAGGAGCCACAGATCACTGCTCAGTGGGCACTAGGCATTGGTCAGCAGGTGGTGAGCAATTGTAAGGTACATCATTTGTTTGTTTTCTTCTTTAGTTTTATTTCTCTGTATTTTTGGTTACCTCCCTTCTAATTACAATGATTTATTAGTATTATATTTCACTTTATTTCAATTATTAAACTGTTCTTATCTCAACACGTGGGTTTTACCATTTCCCAGTTGTCCTCCCCATTCCATTAGGGAAGGAGGGAGTGAGCAAGAGCCTGCATGGCACTTGATGGTGGGTGGGGTAAAGCACAACCCACCCACCATTCTCCTAATCCCTTGGATACACACAACAACTCTGTATTCATGCAGCACCTGGAGAGTCACCATTTCCTCACACATTTTGGGGGGTTCTGGTAAGGATGTCTATCTGTATATGAAGACAGAGAGTGACCCTTTGTGAACTGCATACTCCAGCAGAGCCTACAGTCTGAGCAATCTGGGGAAGAGGACTTCAGGTTGTATCACAGTGTAGGCACTTTGTCTTCAGAAAAGCAGAGCAGAGAGAAGCAGATACTTAGAACCCAAAAAGTACTGTCTGCCTTAGCTGATTTCAATGTAAGTATCTGCAGTAATCACTGCATTCTTTACTTTAAAATTAAGTTTTACCTTCATATAGACATTTAGGATAGGAATCCTGTTCTCAGCAATTTCCTTTTTGGCACCAACAAAAACTTTTCCTGGAAAATATAAAACCTGTAACAGTTATTGAAGAAAAAAAAGCAAAAAATAGGCTATCAGAGAAATGAAGCTGTTCAGGAGGAAGTAGAAGCTGAAAATAAATTTACATCTTTTCTAAAGGATTTTAGGTTTCTAAATGAACTTTACTACAAGTGAAGGGGCTGTCAATGGAACATGACTTCTCTGGCAGCCACAGCCAGGAATTAGTTCCTTGTCACAACTACTTCTCTCACTGCATTGCTCCTTAGGGCAGCCTGGAGCTGAAAAGCTGCTAATTGTGCAAAGGTTTGGTACTGACAGCTTACCTGGCAGTACAGGGAGTGTGCAGGTAAATGGGCTGTTACTGCTGTCTGGCCCATATCTCTCCTCTAGTTTGGTGTGCAGGGCATAGAACTCACGATAGCGCCGGAAAATCAGGTATCTGCCACCACCTTTAAGCTTTACTTCAATGACAAACATCTGAAACAGAGAAGAGGGATTCAGGCTGATGTTCATACTTCTAAATACTCACCAACTGAATGTGAGGAATAAAATAGAAACATAAGATCTGTGCTCCATTAGTGGGAATATTCTCTTAGGAGCAGAGAGGAAAGCAAGCCTTCAGTTAAGCATCTGCCAATTCATGAACTAGGATATAACAAGGTATTTGTGTGGGTCACGCTTGCATATCAAGCATGTCCCTGTGGCTAATTTATATTATATAATCTTAAAAGGAAACATGAAATTACTAGATTCAACTTTATGCTTGCATACTTTGCCTCAGTGACAAGCAAAATACATTACAAAGACAAACACAAATATTTTACAATAAGATGCCTTGGACATCTAAATCTAAAGACAGACTGACATTTAAATGAATTGATTTTCAGAATTGAGGCATTCATACTTCTTTTTTGACTTTAATGTACACAGTTGCAGAAATTATTGTCTGACCTCCTTCAACCACTATTTTATTTCTCTTTTGACAAAATTGCTTTGCTCTAAAGGAACTCAACATTTCCACGCACTGACCTCTGAGTCACATTGCAGCCAGATCCTTCAGAAAACATAAAGACAGAGCAACCAAATATCACTCTATTCCAGAGAAAAACCTGAATTCTGCAGTGGGAAGGGTTTTAAGAGCAATGTCTCCAGAAGTCAGACTGAGATGGGCATATTCAAACCTTCAGAAAATCTTAGTGCCTTTCCCTACTATTCCCTTCCTGTGTGCTCTTTCGTGTCTTAATATGCTTCCTCCTGTGAAGATGGGAGCATCCTAACTTGCCAGTACCGCAGAATAATGAAGCAAAACTCTCCCTTTCTACCCTCTGAGTTACTTTCCCACTATCTTCACCAATGATACAGCACTCCAACAGGAAACAAATCAGATATTAGGAAAAATTAGGATGTTAGAGGATATCCCCTATACTTCATTCAGAAAATAAATTTTTAGACTGAATCTGGGATAACTATACTCCATTCCTGAAAAATAAAGCACTGAGAAGTCTTCCACATGGAACTACTCACACCAAAAAGCAATTACACCAGATTAACTGCATTTTGCTTCCCACAACCAAACCAGTCACTGGTGAAGGCATGTAGAGGCAGGATAAATCTCCATTCTTACATAGTAATTAGTAAAGCCTTTCTTCTCTTCAATATCTGCAATATTAGCTGAAACAGGTACATCATCTGGAAGCTGGTCAAAATCACTGTGAAGCAAGAACAGAAGATTTAGGTTACTGATATTGGTAATAGCCTTAGAGATGTCCTATGTCACACAGAACAAAGATAGGCAATATTACATTTTCTAATATCAAAACCAAGATGTTAGAAACTCATGGTGTCATTCTCTTCCTCTGGAGGTTTGATCTTAAGATGTCAAATTTCAATAAATTCAGCATAAAGCAGTGACCATTGAGAAGATTAATTATGCCTGAAAAATATCCCTCTCATTCCTAGGCTTGCTCAAGGAACAGGACTACAAAACAAACACTTGAACTGCTAAGCTTTTCCTGAGAAATGTGATCAGCTGTGGATGCATTCTTAATCCTTCCTTAATCTAGGAGATTTACAGAAAGAACTCTGCATCAGTGGATCCTATCTTAAGGAGATCATTATACATCATGATTTATGCTGCTATTATTACTGCATTACTGTAAAATATAGGAAACAGTTCTGAGAAAAGAGCTTGTTATGCAAGGTGCTGTAGAAACTGACAGCACAAAGCTAAATCCTAAAAACTTTATACTCTGTGCAAGATGCATAAAAAATACCACACACATATAAGAAAAGAAATAACAGGATAAGCACAAACAGAAAAAGAACAAAGAAACAAAAGCATAGTATTGTTCTACATCAAAACTATTGGTGCCTACACCAGCTGTCAAAATGTTGTCAAGTTTTCTTGACGACATCACAATAAAGCAAACTCTTAAAGAGGCTTGAAAAAATAAGGCTAGGCTATCAAATATTTGGAGAGAGACCTCCCAGTCACAGCAGGTAAGGTTCATCACAGAATATTTGGAGTTGGAAGGGACCAACTTTCAAAGATCACCAAGTACAACTCTTAATGAACGGCCTGCACAGGGATAGAACATACGACCTTGGCATTTATCCCCCAGTCTCAGCAGATAACCTGAAGCAAGCACAAAGATACTTGTTTGAAAATCTCAAAAGTGTGTGAAGGAACTCATGTTAGTAGGCAAGGTTAGAATAAGCTTGGCAGATCCTAGAAAGAATTGGATTTGAAGTGAGAAGAATCTCTGCAGGAACAGAGATTACTAACAAGCAGCCATATGACCACACAGTCATGTTACTGGTCTATACTGCCCACACTACAAAAAATGCATGGATTGGCAGATGCTTTTTCGTCTGTGACCTTCTCCTTGGTGCAACAGCTTTGACAAGCAGCAGACAAATTCACCTTTGCTTCAGTCCTATAACTCATATTATTTATATTAACAGCTGAGTAAAAAGCATCTAGAATGGGGAAAATAGAATAACAAATGAGATAAAGAGAGACTTCTAAAAGGATCATCTAAGAAATCCCAAGCTGACAAAATGTTAAATATTCTGATAGTACAAAAAAAAAAAAAAAAAAGTGGTAGCTGTCTCAGTTTATTCTGGTAGGAGAATATCCCAACCAGGGGCTTCCACAAGGCGTAGCCCATTTGAAATGCTGAAGCAATGATGCAACATCTTGCAATAGTTTGCTGTACAAGGAAAATGCCATGAATCAGCACCACCCACAATACTGTAAATACTACCCCTTACTGTGAAGAAGGATGTGGTTATGGAGAGCAAGAGATATAATTAGTCATATCACAAACACTCATCATAAACTCCAGTAAAAGGGAAACTTGTTTTGCAGCTATAAAGAGGACAATGACCCACTATGTCCTAGGTTGTGAATATTTCCCACAAAAAGAAGAAAGTCCACACCAGCAAAAGAAATGGTCTACTTGACCCTAAGCAGCCTAATAGTGCGTAAGTTACACACTGTTCTGATAACAAGAAGCCTTTTAGAATCACCAAAGATGCTTGCATCCAAATTAACCAAACAGATCAGGAGTTACATGAGGCTTGTGGGGAGGCAGGAGTAGGCTATATAACACATTACCTCTTTTCTCGCAGCTGTCGGGGAAGAGACATGGTTCTTCTTAAATCCAGATGACTAAGATCTATTCCTCTACTTCTTGTGCACTTCCTGGTTTAATAGGATGAACACAAAGTCAAAGTAATTCTCCCTGCATGAAACAAGACTCCTTTGCAAGGCCTCAGAGATCTTTTTTTAATGTTTCAGTGTCAGACGATTTCTGCTGTACCTCCCCACCCCCATGAGTTTGAGGAAGTATCAGGGGGGAAACAGTAATAAAGAGAGACTGCTCTGTGATGTCTGTCATGTCTCAAAACTGCCACAATTGAGAAACTGAAAGCCCAAAAAAAAGCAGAAACTATGAGCCACATATTCCATTGTCCACTCTTCACCAAAACATTTGCCTCTGTTGAAAGCCAGTATGAGTGGGCTCAGCAAAGTCTGTTTTGCCTCAGCTAAAATGTCCCCATATATACCTCTATATTAATATTTGTAAACTAGGATGAATACTTCTGATCCCTTCTTGAGGCACTGTGATTTCCAAGGATCCTCCTTTTCACAGACCAAGAGCCAGGAGGTGGAGCTAAAGAATAAATTTTAAAATGGGAGCAGAATGTATCACCAGAAAAATCAGCCGTGTCAAACACGAGGGCATCGGGCACAGGAGATGAGATTTGAAGGACAGATCAATGAAAGTAAGACAGGAGTCCTTTAAAGGCCAGAGATCTTTTTGGCTTCATGTGCTCAAAACAACCCACATTTGCCACATACAAAGACAAGGTAACGGCTTGCCCTGGCTTTTACTCAAACTGTAGTGACAAAGCATTTATATAACATTAGTTGACAATCTTTCAGGAAGAAAGTGATGAGGAAACCATGATTTCTTAACAATATGGCTAAGTTGTAACACAGCTTATCTGCCTTAGTCAAAAACTGTTATGTGCATCCTTGCCTCTCCATTTCAGTCTTTGACTGTCTTCCATTTTTGTGTTCAATATATATTTGCCTCTTTCTCCTCCTTCCGCTGCCAAGAACAAAAATTCCCATCTGAATGGAGCAAAAATCAACCAGCATCCTTCAAAATAAAACTCTATTTACAACTGTAATCATCAGCCTTGAGAGTAACTGCATTGCATTGAATTTTAATGAAGTAAATCCTTCACCCAGCTCCTTTCCATGGCACCATAATAGAATTTGAGAGGGGATATAGTGTCTCTTGATCAGAAGAGACCAGGAGAACAAAATTCTGAACTGTATTTTCTGAGAGATCTGCTACTCCACTACATATCATAGCTTTGACAAGAAAATCATATAAAGGTTATCCTATTTTTTTTTTCAAATGTCCTGAAAGATAATCTAGATATATTGCAGGTACATCTTTTAATAGACAGAGGATATTGCACAATCCAAAAATATATTTTCATTGTTTATCTAGGGATGTGACTTCTTGAAAACAAGTTGACAGAAACTCTCAGACAAATTGTCTATGCAAATGTTCTGCTGTAAGATGAGTACAGCAAACTGAAAGCAGCTCAATTCCACTACTCTCCACTAGAGATTACAGGTAGGAATAATACTAACCTGACAGAATAATGCTAAACCTACTAAGAATGTTTATGGTTCTGCAGTATTTTCTTGTTCTGAACTCAACCAGAAAAAGGCCTTGCTTTTCTGACAAAAGGCAGATTTCTACCTCAGATGAGTGGATAACTGATTTTTTCGAGGGATCACCAAGACTGTGAGACTAAGATTGGAAACACTGTTTTGCCATGTTCTTCTGTGCCAAATCAGTGCGTCAACTACCACATGCTTTCTTTCCATTTCTACTATCGTGCTACTATAGTAGAAATAGCAATTTCTTTTATTTGGGCTGAGAAAATAGGCTGTCTCTAATCAAATACACATGCTTTCTCTGTTCAAATAATTATTTCATGAATGAAATAAATATCCATTACAAAACTGATATCCTAACAGTACCTATGTCAAGAGATATGCCTGCACTAGGAAAGTACCAAATTTTATCATCTGACATGGCCAGCTCTCAGTTTTGAGAAAACCCATCCACACACTATGGCTGGCACGGTCATTGTGGTGCTGTGCACCAATCCAAATACATGTGCAAGAGAAGAGAATGCAGGAATTCATCCAAGTGCAAGGAATATAAAACAAAAATTGGTTCATTAAAGGAGACTACTAAGAGAATCCTCAGATGACTGAATCATGACCATATGCTGCCACCACTATATGCCTCTTCACAGTTCACAATCTTCTCTATTATTTTGGACGTGCCTGTGAGCTGTGAAACTGTGGCCTTCTGTCCAATGCACCTGTTGTTAGAAAACACATGTACAAGGATACACAGCACCGTGGAAATCTGACAGTATCAGCTAGAACCAAACAACCAAAGCAAGTGAGGAATTCTAGTGAGAAATAGGAATGCAATCCCAAATCACTAGCGATACATGAACCACCAATAAAAGATAAACCAAAAAATGTAGCAGAAATACTCAGCTGAATCAAGTTTGGGTGACAGCACTACATACCATGTCTGCTAGGGCAGCAGCAACTATATCATTTTGCTTATCTCTATGGAATAATGGCTTCTTTCTGATGCACCTGATCTTACAAAAGTGCAATGTACTTATGCTCAATCACCAGCCATAGAATAAATCTTTTAAGTGATAGGAGAAAGTGAACAAGAATAATATGGTTAAAAGATTCTGATCTCATCACAGATTAATCTGCAAAGGAAGTAACATTTAGCCATAACTGCAAGGAAGCTGAACATCAAATACAAACACATATGGCAGAGTTGGCTTTCAAGATACTTTCACTCAACCCATTGTTTTCAAAGGATATGTGGAATATTTGTTTCTGTAGCATACACATCATTAGCAGTTGGATGCCTTGACTCCTGTGGTTGCTTGAGACTGAGCTACAACTGTAATAACACTGATTTGGGAAGTGTTTGGGGATCTTTTCCATTTTTCTTTAATAATACTTGTACAGACCACCAGCTTTATGGAATGCTTTAATAGACTTTTACAATACTTATTTTCAAATACAGCCATGTATAAGCTAGCAATTATTTTTATTATAGTTCATGAATAATTA